ACTAGGAGTGACATGATAGCAGTGTTCCAATGTATGAGGGGCTGCCACAAGAAATAGGGGGTCAACCTATTCTCCAAAGCACTTCAAGGCAGGGCAAGAAGCAATTAATGGAAACTAATTAAGGAGAGAACCAATTAGAACTGAAGAGAAATTTCCTGACAGAACAATTAATCAGTGGAACAACTTGCCTCCAGAAACTGTGGAGGTTTTTAAAACAAGATTGAATGGCCATTTATCTGAAATGACATAAGCTCTCCTGCTTAAGCAGTGGGTTGGACTAGAAAATCTCCAAAAGCCCTTCCAACTTATAACTGTTATTCTGTTAAAATTGTGTGCATGATGCATTTTTGTCAGATCATGTAGGCTGCCAAAATGTTCCAGAATAGTCCCGCAACATAAGCAACTGTAAACACCAATAAAGATGCTGTTCTTTTTATTTATAATCTGAAACTTCTTATTTTTGAATGGTAATTTAAAAAACGAAACAAATCTGTAGTTGAGATTATCTCATTTGTATATATCAGGGTCTGTCATATTGGAAAAATCAGCTTTTTAGTGCCATCGAAAGTATATACTTCTTCTACCAATACATTTTAAGTTAATGTTTTAAAATCTTTGGTAATAAGTGGAGTTTCCAATGCTACCAATCAGACCTAGCCAGAAAGATGAAAAGTAATTAGAATCATAGGCTGGATGGGACCTCAGAGATCTTCTAGTCCAACCCTCCTCTCAGGGCAGGAGACCTTATACCATCCCAGTCAAATGGTTGTCCAGTTTATTTATTCTTATCCTGCCTGGTCATAGCAAACACTCTTTTCCAACAACCCCAAAGACAGCTCTACACATGCACATCACCAGACAGTCAACACAGAAATCAGATTGACCATGGCTTCCAGTTCCAGGTCACAGCGCTGCGATTGTACAGAGAGGCTTCTCTCTTTGCCAGCCGAGTTTCCCCCACCAGTAGACCCTTGATTGGATTGAAAGTCACCCTGGAGGGGTGACCACCATTGAGGAGGCTGTCTGTTTGACTGTAGAGAGGTGCCAGCACCCTCTGCTGTCCAAGCGAGCTCCTTTGGGCCAACAGAGTAAAGATTGGTCAGTAAAATGGCCAATTTATTTATTTATTTATTTATGAGACTTATATACCGCTTTAAGTGCAAGCACTCTCTAAGCGGTGTACACCAGTAAGCAATGTATATATATATATATATTTACATTGCCCCCAACAATCTGGGTCCTCATTTTACCTACCTCGGAAGGATGGAAGGCTGACCAATCACTTAGCTGCACCAGCTGTAAGCTACAAGAACATCTAAGCGAAATAGAACCACCATGGAAGATTCAGTGAGACCTTTCCTTGCCTCTCCCATTCCTATTTATTCCTGTGAAAAGCCCTTGGAATCATTTCCCTATCTTTTTAAAACAGCTTTGTTGATGGGGGAAGGAAAGCTTTGGAACAAAAGAAAAATTAATTTTAACTTTTTCAAATGGTTGATTTTCTTTTTGAATATTTGGGAATCCTAAAATTCTTGTTACAGAAGCTTAATATGCTAGCAATTTGGGGGAAATTTTTTTTTATTTTTTTTTACTATTTTTATAACTAAAGAAAAGAAGGAAAAAAGGAAAAAAAGAAAGAAATTATTTTTATTGGGGGTCTGGGAAGACTGAACAACTGGTTAATCCTCTGGGGACATCTATTTACTGCAATTGTTATTCCTTTTTTTGGATTCTGAGTCTGACTTTGACCTTCAATTTGACCTTCAAATTATCTCAAAAGGGAAAGATAAAGAAGCTGTATAGCTGGGTGGAAGCGGATATTGACTGATTGTTATTAAATACGGCCTCCACCAAAAGAATAATGGCTTTATATACTACTGAAATGGAGGAACTCTGTCCAGATTTCAATTACAAGTATATATTGGACAAAATTCTTGAAAATACTGAACAAATAATTACCTATACAAAAGAGATTATTTTTCAACAACAAATTAAAGCGCAAGGTGTAAGTGAGCACTTTGTAAGCCAAGAAACAGCAGAAGGGATATATACTCAAGAGACTGTCTTCAACCTTATTCACAATTTACTGAGATGGAGGAATTAAACTTACATCAGGACTACAAACCTACACTGGAAAAAAATGTTTGATGCTAATGAACAAATGACTCTTAGCACGGAAACTAAGGATGTTATCCCAGAAGGGCAGGCTAATCTCCAGACTCCAACTGATTACCTGATAGATAAAAAACCAACAGGAGGAGAGCAAAATAATATTAAGGAAGACTCTCCATTATTTTATAGACTATCTATTGAGACTTTGGATGATTCAAAAATGACTAATTAAACTAGATGCAACTTCTAAAAAGATGAAGATGGATGTTCAACCACGAGCTATTGAGAATCACTACAACTTTTTCACTAGCCTATTAAAATGGACAATGGGAGATTCTCCCCTGATTTATAAGTTATAGCAAGAAATGGAGGGAGTTTTTTATTTTATTTTTATTTTTATGTGGACTTAGAGGCCTTACTATGGAAACCCATTTGGAACAGAAAGAAAGCTAGAATAAGATATAAATATGGAATTTAAGATTACATTTATGGGTTGCAATGGCTTTATAGAGATGTGGATTGATTTGGATTTGGATTTTTAAAAGGTGTTTTTAGGATAAGATTTAGAATTTAATATTGAAATATAGTAAGAATATATCTTTTGGAATAATTGATCTTCCTTCTTTTCTCTTTCTTTTTCTTGGTCTTTTTTTGTTTCTTTCTATTATTTTTTTTTCTATTTTTCCTATGCTTTTTTATTATTAGATACAATAGCTAATTTGTGGAGCTATAATGATAAAAAGATTGTAATGATGGAAGAGATGAAATTAATAAATAAAGAATTACTGAATAAGAAATCAAATATAGTTGAGAAATGTAAGAATGTAATTATGGGAATAATATGTTTAAATAAGAGAAATTATGGACACCCGAACTGTAAATAATATTTTTGTTTAATGCTAAGTTAGATATGGTATTTGGAAATTAATAAACCTAAAAACAGGGTTTGATTTACATCGATGAAAGGTTGTTGATAAATTCTATTGATTAATTGAATTCTTATTTAGGAATGTATTAATGAATTAATCTTACCTAGAAATGTATTAGTTTGACTATACTATTCTAATTGTTAGAGAGGGAAATTTTAAGGAGCGTTATCTGAGCTATATATGTATGATGTTATTGTACCTAACTGATTACCTGATCTCCACATTGTTTCTTAAGCTTTCTAGTGTAAAAAGGGAAAAATCAATAAAATTGTTTGGAAAAAAAGAAAGAAATCAGATTGATCATGTGCTCTGTAGCCAAAGATGGAGAAGCTCTATACAGTCAGTAAAAACAAGACCAGGAGCTGACTGTGGCTCAGATCATGAGCTTCTTGTTGCAAAATTTAGGCTTAAATTGAAGAAAGTAGGGAAAAACACTAGGCCACTCAGGTATGAACTAAATCATATCCCTGATGAATATACAGTAGAGGTGACAAATAGATTTAAGGAATTAGATCTGATAGACAGAGTGCCTGAAGAACTATGGACGGAGGTTTGCAACATTGTACAAGAGGTAGCAACTAAAACCATCTCAAAGAAAAAGAAATGCAAGAAAGCAAAATGGCTATCTGAGGAAGCTTTGCAAATAGCTGAGGAAAGAAGGGAAGTGAAAGGCAAGGGAGAAAGAGAAAGATATACCCAATTGAATGCAGAACTCCAGAGAATAGCTAGAAGAGATAAGAATGCCTCTTAAACGAACAGTGCAAAGAAATAGAAGAAAACAATAGAATAGGGAGAACCAGAGATCTCTTCAAGAAAATTGGAGATATGAAGGAAACGTTTCATGCAAAGATGGGCATGATAAAGGACCAAAATGGTAGGGACCTAACAGAGACAGAAGAGATTAAGAAGAGGCGGCAAAATTACACAGAAGAAGTATACAAGAATGAGCTTAGCATCCCTGGTAACCACAATGGGGTGGTCACTGACCTCGAGCCAGACATCCTAGAATGTGAAGTGAAATGGGCGTTAGGAAAGCTGAGCAACAACAAAGCTAGTGGAGGTGACAGTATTCCAGCTGAGCTATTCAAAATCTTAAAAGATGATGCAGTAAAAGTGCTACACTCAATTTGCCAGCAAATTTGGAAAACTCAACAGTGGCCACAGGATTGGAAAAGGTCAGTTTACATTCCAATTCCAAAGAAAGGCAATGTCAAAGAAAGTTCAAACTATTGCACCATTGCACTGATTTCACATGCAAATAAAGTTATGCTTAAAATCCTATAAGCTAGACTCCAGAAGTATGTGGATTGAGAACTTTCAGAAGTACTGATAGGATTTCAAAGAGGCAGAGGAGCTAGAGATCAAATTGCCAACTTACGCTGGATCATGGAGAAAGCTAGTGAGTTCCAGAAAAACATCTACTTCTGCTTCATTGACGACAGAGAATGAGGTGGCTGGATGGAGTCACAGAAGCAGTAGGCGTGAGCTTAAATGGACTCCAGTAGATGGTAGAGGACAGGAAGGCCTGGAGGAATGTTGTCCATGGGGTTGTGGTGGGTTGGACACGACTTTGCAACTAACAACAACATCCTGCCTCTGATGCTTTGGAAAATGTCAATCCTCTCTTCTCTGTAACAGCTCCCCACATATTGGAAGACAGTTATCACATCCCTGCAATCCTTCTTTTTGATAGGCTATTCATACCTAGCTCCCCCAGCCATTCATCATTAATTTGGCCTCCAGACCCTTTATCATCTTTATTATTTAATTGGACCAAGATGGCCACCATCTTTTTATCTTTTTATCTATTGACTAGGAAAGTTAGTTTTTTTTTTACTAGGAGTAGTAATTTTATGATTTGAAATATAGGATTAGATAGGATTAGGTTTTAGACTATGAGTTCCTTTAAACCACCCAAGGATGCCAAAATAAAAGGTTTACATTGTTGTTGTTTTTTCTTTTTTTCTTTTCAACATCCCTCTCCCATCTTGCAACATCCACCTCCCATCTTTAGTACATTCTTATTCCTTCAACATTCTAAGGCTTGTGTTAAGGCATACAATTCACACGTTTGGGCTGCCCGCATTAATGGCAGTCTCCCTGCTTAATGCATGCAATTCACAAGTCTGTGCAAACAAACTTAAAACAACTTTCCTGTTTCTTTCTTTTATTAACCATTCCTTCCTTCCCTTCTGCCACTCTAGCATAACTTTTTTTTTCTTCTTACACCAGTATTCAAGACTCCATAAACATACTTGGAGTCAGTGTATATTTTTTTCCTTCTCCCTTTGTCATTTTTACACATTGCTTAAATAACTCTAATGGTTGGACAGGTTTTAAGAGTATAATAAGAAACACCCCCCCAGACATACCATCTTGTAATGTTCCAATACATCTTCTAAGACTTAATATCACACTCTATCTCACACCCTGTGCACTGAACACAATTAATACAGTGAGAGCAGCAACAACACCCACAAAGATACCCACAAAATCAGCACATGCGGGAGGTCTTGGTTTTCTTTTGGTTCTAGATAGAAAAAGAAATATAAAGTTTAGTCATTTTTCCTCTATTAACCCCCTTTCTGTCAGGAAGATTGACTATTAGTCCATGAAGTCCTTCGGAACTTTAGCTTCAGTGGATCTCCTTGGTGAGATTCCACCTTCCACTCCTCTGGGGCTGGCACGGGCCCTTTTACTCTGGAGTAATGGTCCAACCTTTTTCAGCTGTCCGGATAGCTGTCTTAGTGGTTAACAAGACGATGTAAAGTCCTTCCCAGGTTGGAGTTAGTTTTTCCTCTCTCCAGGCTTTTATCAACACCCACTGTCCTGCTTTGTATTGGTGTACTACAAAGTCCAAGGAGTTTGGGCAAGAATGCCTTTCTGTTACAGGAGAGAAAAATATCTGGACAGTTCAAGTACATATTTTCTAATCATTTTATCTTTTAATTCAATTCTTGGTAATCCCTCCTTCCCCATCTACTATCGTATCTTCATTATGTCTCTCTTTTTCTTGTTCTTTTCTTTTCTCAACTACTTTGCTATGAACAAGTGTATACCTCCTTTAGGCTTCCTGATTAAAATTGTCTACACTTGATAAGAAATGCTAACCACCAAGATGTCCCCAAATGTCAATTTTAGATAAAAATACCACTGGCTGCCTTTCTCCTCCCCCCCCCCACACACTTCTGGGTCAAAACCTCCTCCAACCTTTGTCCTTGTTTATAAATAAATTATCTAGCGAAGAACCAACAAAGGAGAGCTCACCAAACCCTGTTTGCATTTGTTAACACAAGCTCTTTTTCTAACAGTTTTGCATACTAATCTTTACTCAAAACAGCATAGCTATTTATAATCCCAAAATTTTTCTCAACTTCTTTGTTTTAACTTCACACAAAAAATAAACAAGTTTAATAAGATATTCTGAGTTACTGAAATACTAGAGTTTTTTTTCCCAAACTCTAGTATTGCTTTTAATATAAAGTTAGTCAAATTCCAATTTAATCAAATTCCATTCAGATGGAAACAAGTTTCCATTAAATAGGGAAAACATTTACAAATCTAAGCAAACAATTTTGTATCATTTCTTTTGGTTGATATTAAACAATTTAAACTCAAAAATTTCCCCCCAAAAAAGTTGTCCAACAATTACTGACCCCTCTTTTGAATAGAAAAAAATTGCAAAAGTGGGCATTAAATTTTCACAGCCACCCCACCTTTCTCAAACCTGAATTCTAAGCAGAGAAAAAGTTAAAAAGATCAAACCCCCCTTCTCCTTTCTCTCTCTCTCCCTTTCAAAGCAACACAGCCAGAAAAAAAGCGGGGGGGGGGAAGGGGGTTGTGTCTGCAGACAAGAGTTTGAAAAGGCATTAACACACTAACATTTGCAAAAGGGAGAGAGCAGAATAGGCAAGAAAATAGTATAGGATTTCCTGCCTGAGCAGGTAACTTTGGGCTGTTCTTAAGAGGGAGAAAAATAAATAAATAAACAAATACATCTTTCTTCACTTTGTTTGTTGGCCAGACAAACAGAGTGAGGATGTTTCTTTTGGTAACTTCTTTTCTCTTGAGGTTAGTAACAGTCATATTTACTTCACACACAAAGACTCTGACACACATATACGTACCAAGACAAGGAAAAGAGAACAGAAAACTGATTGGGAAAAAGGTCTTTTCACTCACACAGAGACAAACGCACATTTCTCTCATTCCCCTTATTTCCCAAAACTTCCTTTTCTACCCTAGCTCCACATGGGAAACCCATTCACAGACACAAGGCATCTGCTGCTAGCAAGATGGGTTTTCCTGTTTGAAGCTACTCAATTTTACAGTTTTTTTTTTCTTTAGGTTTACAACAACGACTTACAACAACAGCCCATCTTCTTGAGAGTTTTCCTGATTCCCTGAGGTTCCCTGAGGTTCTCGATTTGACGGCCACTCAAAACTCTTAACACCAGTTTGCTTCCCTTCAGGCTGGCCTTCCCCCTTGCAGGAGTAAGGGACCTCAACCTTTCGGGTCTGCATTCCTCTGGACTTACCAGTGTTCCCAGAACACAGCCCATTACACTTACACAGCCGTTATCGCAGAAATCCTCCCACAATCGCTCTCCTGACCACCTAGGTACAATTGCATGCTTCCCTCCTTCGGGGCAAAAGTTCCTTACCTGGGCCAGTGCACTGGGTTACCTGGTCTGGGCTTCAGTTGTTGACTTTCTTCCTATTTCCTGTCCTTTGATTTTTGTAAACCAGAGTTGTCAATTTAGTTTGGCTCGGAGCCTGCAAAGGGAAACTAGATCTCAGATAACTTCAGGCAGTTGAAATCAATAGGCACGCTCCTGATTTTACTGAGAACAGTGTCCCCTAGAAGCTCTTAATGCCCGCATTCTCCACCAAGATTGTGAGATGTAAAAACCCCAAATTTTTATACTCACAATACGAAGACAAGTCTGATTAACAAAACAAAGGTTTATTGGAAAATAACATAAACAGAATAAGAAAGAAAAAGAATAGAAGAGAGAGGTGTTTGCAAACGCGGCCCCCTGGATCCTTCCCTATGGATTGGATTCCAGGAGCACACTGACCTGGTTTCAGGTTTTGCATTTTATAGCCCTACAATGCATTGTCACATCTCTTTCATCTTAATGGTTTTCTCTGAAGTGGTACTTTGTTAACCTGACCTCTTCCGTCCATCTGCTGTTATCTTGTTTATCTGGAATTCTCACTTTGGGTTAAAATCCCCTTCTTTGATAGTAGGATTTCCACTCAAAGTGTAATTTCCTATGTCTGGGAGATTTTTAGGCAGGATATAGTAAACATTTGGTCATATATTGGCATTGCATTGTTACATTTGTGTTACAGCATTACATTAGTACTAAAGAGACAGTTTCATATAATGGCATTACATTTCTACAATTATTTCTACAATTATTAAAAGAATAACTTTTATTTCCTTAATTTTTATTTCCTTCACAGAGGAGAGGTAGTTCTACAGAGACACAGGATTCTACTCCAAGTTGCTGATATTCCTTTGAGGTAGCATAACAGATGAGTAATACTGAACTCACTTTCCCAACTTTTACACTACAGGGTATATCCTAATGAAATAACAGATTTTGTGGCTCCCCAGCAGTTATGGTTGTAAAAGAATATTGTTAACCTTTGGGTAGATTGTTAATTAAAGGTTAATTACAGGTTAAAATAAAAGGTTAATTTGTGCTAAAGTTGACACAAAAGCAATATCAGAGAGTCTTAAAACAGAATGCTGCTAAATGGGCTAGAACAAAGCATTGTCAGTTTCCAAAGCATTCTTTAATCTCTACAATATGCTGAAGAAACATTTAATAACTAAACCTCCCGCCAAAAGTTAGATTTTGTTGTTTTGATTTTGAAAACTGGTTGTTGAAAAAGAAACTGAAGGCAGCCATGAGACTTGCTCAGAGGAATCCTACTGCTCACATACAAGCTAGGATGCTGCATATAAGAAGTGAATATAAAAAACTCATAAAATTAAAGTAAAAAAGGTTTGCCATTTCAGTTTGGTCAGGGCTTGAGCTGGCTGCCAAAAGTCATAACTCAGTAATATTCTCTGTAGCAGGAGTCCTAAAGAAATGGAGATTTGCATTTGATATTCCAATCTCTGCTGACGACTGGGAGAATTACTATCAATGTTTGTTTGCTTCTAGGGAACCTGTAGAGAGACTGTCTATAAGCAGTGAATGAATATCCCCCTGAAACTCCTTCCCCTTGGCCCCCAGTCTCAGCAAAAGAGATACAATCCACATGTTGGGAGGGGGCCTTCCTTTTTCTTTCCTGCGGGTTCTGTCATTCTCCCAGGGGGAAAGGGGAAATATGGGAATTACAATGTATTTTCTTCACTTCATTTCATCCGCTACAATGTATCCTCTCTGCTTCTTCTATCTGCTTGCTCTTTAAACTGTTTCCCCTTGATGCCATCCTGTGGGTGAGAAAGAAATGTGCATCTGGCCATCTGGCTTATCTCTCACTGAGGAAGACTAGGTGGGAAGACCTAACAACAGCTTCACAGCCTTGGAATAGCACCTTATCAGCCCTGTTCCCACAGCAGATTCAATACCTGGGGATTGGCCCATTTGAACTGGGGTGGGTCTTGCTTCTTGCTCTTTTAACCTATTGATTCATGCGGGACCCCTCATATCCTGCTGTAAGGACCCACCCCACTTTGCATCTTAAGAAGACAGAACTCTTGGAATAATTCTTCCAACAGGAATCCTTTATTAAGAGAAAATGGTTGCAGGCATGCTAGACAGGACTTGGGGTCCAAGCTCTCCCATTCAAGGTTTTAAGGGGTTCCCCAGTAGTCCCACCCAATCAACCCCCCTTCCAGTGATAGTTTCAAGTATCACAATTCCACTCCCTTTCTTCTTTCTTCCGTCTGGATGGAGACTTCAGATAACTACATGAAAGGCAATTACTCTCCTTTGGTATGCTAACACTTCGAGGTTACAATAAACACACATTCAGCATTTAGCTCTTTGAAGTGTAAAGAAGGAAGTGAGGGCCATAAAGCCCCTTTGTTCTCCCCCTTCTCTCCCTCTTATGGCAGAATCCAGAGAAGGCAGAATTGGGAGTTTCTATATTTGATAATTTAAAGATGAAATATAATTGGATTCTGACATCCGGCCCCTCTTAACAATAAGAGAAATCCACCTGAAAGAAAACACAAGTATAAAATTTAGTCAGGCTTGTTAGGATACTCTGTGTGAAACTTCTTCAATAGCTTCGGGGCTCTGACATGACGTTTATGGACCCACTCATTTTGTGAGGGAGGGAGGTGTTTCCAGGCAACTAGGTACTGAGTTGCTCCATGATATCTCCTAGAGTCAAGGACTTCCTTTATTTCGAAGTGTTGTTCACCCTCCACCATGATTGGAGGTGGTGGGGGGGGGATTTTTGGCCGTAGAGGTGACTGATGCTCTCTTTTCAGCAAGCTGCAATGAAAAATTGGGTGTATTTGCCTGAGATTTTTGGGTAATTCTAATTCTACTGTTACTGGATTTATGATTCTTTTAATTGGAAAAGGTCCTATGTATTTTGGTCCAAGTTTTTTACAGGGCTGTAGGGACTTTAGGTATTTTGTAGATAAGTACACCATCTCTCCTATAATGAATGGTGTAGGCTCAACCCTTTTTTTATCGGCTTGTGTTTTGTAAGCCTGCCTAGCTTCATCTAGTGCTTTTCTGACTATTGGCCAGGTGTTTTGTAATTTTTCCATCCATTCTTTCAGCGAGGGGATCGTTGGTTCGTTTGGGGTTAATTCTGGCATGGGGTTGAAGCTTTGACCGGTGGCTATTTGAAAAGGAGTGTAACCTGTGCTGGACTGCTGCATTATTGTAGGCAACTTCTGCAAAGGGGAGTAAGTCCGCCCACTCGGTCTGCTGGAAACTAAGAAAACATCTTAAATATTGCTTAAGTACGGAGTTCATTTTTTCAGCCGATCCATTTCCTTGAGGGGGGTGGCTAGATGTCAGTCCCTGAGTGGTTCCTAAGAGGGATAAAAATTCCTTCCAAAATGCAGACGTAAATTGCACCCCCCTGTCAGAGATGATGCGTTGGGGTGCCCCATGCAATCTGTAAATGTGTTGGATGAAAAGTTTTGCTAAGGCTTTTGCAGTGGGAATCTTTTGGCAAGGGATAAAGTGCACCTGTTTGGAAAACAAGTCCGTGACCGTCCAGACCACAGTATTCCCATTGCTTTCTGGCAATTCCACTATAAAATCCATGGCTATTTCTCTCCAGGGGGCTGAGGGACTTGCCACTGTTTGCAATAGTCCTGGCACTTTCCCTTGCAACCTCTTTGCCGTGGCACATTTTGGACAACTGGCTATATAACTTTCAATGTCCTTTTTCATGGATGGCCACCAAAATTGCCGTTTAATTAAATGTAAAGTTTTTACAAATCCAAAATGCCCTGCTGATTTTGTGTCATGGCAAAGGTGCATGAAAGTTACTCTTTGAGTTGTTGGTATATATAACTTTTCCCCTACCCAAGGCAACCCGTCTCTCATTGTGCACACATTTTTGTTTTTCTGGAACCATTCATCTGTTTCCAAGCTTTTTCTGAATTCAATCCCAGTTTGGCTGTCCAGTTGTGGTTTTATTTTGGCTTGGGTTCTTGTGGTTACTGGTGCTGCCAGTTGTGACTCTGCCATTATTGGTCTAGAGTCTGTGGTTCGTGCGCTGTTATATTGGGGCATGCGAGATAGAGCATCTGCCAGGAAGTTCTTTCTTCCTGGTAAATGTTTGAGTTTAAATTGGAATTGGTGAAAATGCTGGGACCAGCGGGCTTGTTTGGGATTGAGTTTCCTGGAAGTTTTCAGGGCTTCTAAATTTTTGTGATCAGTCCACACCTGGAAGGGGATTTTGTTGCCTTCCAGGAACTGTCGCCACGTGAGTAATGCCCAACGTATCCCATAAGCCTCCTTCTCCCATACGGGCCAGCGCTGTTCTGTTTCCGTGAGTTTCTTGGATGTATATGCACAGGGTTGCAATACTGCATCATCATTTTCTTGTAATAGCACAGCCCCCACTGCCACATCACTTGCATCTGCCTGTATTACGAAGGGCTTGTCCATGTCTGGGTGCCTTAGTATTGGTTCGGCAGAAAAAAGTCTCTTTAGTCTCTCAAACGCTGCTTGGCACTCCATTGTCCATGTTAGTGGCTGGCTAGGTTTTACTGAGGATGCTCCCTTCGTTTTTAGTAAGTTAGTGAGGGGCAAGGCTATCTGGGCAAATGAGGGGATGAATTGGCGGTAAAAGTTTGCAAAGCCCAGGAAACTTTGTAGTTGCTTTCTTGTGCGGGGTGGTGCCCAATTTAGTACTGCTTTGACCTTCTCTGGGTCCATTTCAATGCCCTGTGGGGATATGCGATAGCCTAGGTAGTCTATCCTTTCCTGGTGGAATTCGCATTTTGAGAGTTTGGCATATAGGTGAGCGGCTCGCAGCTTCTTTAAAACCGCTCTGACAAGTTTGACGTGTTCTTCTTTTGTTTCAGTAAAGATAAGAATGTCGTCCAAGTAAACAAGGACCCCCTTAAACAGGTGCTCCCTTAGAACGTCATTGATTAATTGCATAAAGACTGCAGGGCCCCCTTGTAATCCAAATGGCAAGACTTTGAATTGATAGCACCCCATGGGGCAGTTAAATGCAGTCTTCCATTCGTCCCCTTCCTTGATTCTCACTCGATAGTAAGCTTCCCTTAAGTCTAGTTTAGAAAAAATTTTCCCTTTCGATAGGTGTGACAGCATGTCTTTCATGAGGGGCAGCGGGTATAGGTTGCTTTCACTGATTGTATTCAGGGCCCTATAATCCACGCATAAACGTAAAGAGCCATCCTTCTTCTCTCTAAAAAGGACCGGGGCAGCCACTTTAGGCTTGGCTGGCTCAATGAAACCTCTCTCCAGGTTTTTTTTTATAAATCTTTCCATTTCCTCCTTCTCCTTTGGGCTCATGGAGTATAATCTGGGCTTCGGGAGTTTTGCCCCAGGCTTGAATTCAATGGTACAGTCTGTGGGTCGGTGGGGGGGAAGCTCATTCGCCCTCTCCTCACTGAAGACTTCAGCAAGGTCCCTATATTCCTCTGGTATTTCTGTTAATCTTTTTTCCTCTCCTATGGATGCTTTTTCTATTCTTGATTCTGGTAGCCTCCCTTGGGGTTTTAAGTCCATAGGGTCCCCCTTCGGGAATTTGATTTCTGTCGTCCTCCAATTTACCCAGGGGTTCCATTTTTTCAACCATTCCATCCCTAGAATCATTGGGCATTCCATACCTGGGGTCACCACAAACGTTAAGTCCTCTTCATGGTTGCCCAGGGAGAGATGTATTGGCAAAGTGGCTAGGGTAGCTGGCACCCCCCCTGCTATGGATCCATCTAGCTGGCCAAATGAGATTGGTTGTTCCAGTCTCCTGGATGGGATGCCCAGATTCCCCACTAGTGTTGGGCTAATGAGGCAGCGGGTACAGCCAGAGTCTATTAAGGCTTTCACCTTCACAGCTTCGGGCATGGGGGGGATTAATATAGTCACTGTTTTGAAGATGGGTGTGATGCATCCACTTACCAGGGGTTCGCCCTCCGAGCTGTCATCTGAGGCATCCACCGGCCCTGTGGTGTAGGCTGGAGTCCTTTCCCCTTGGTGAGCAGAGGTGGGGGTTTCTGCAATTTTTATCATTCTCATGGCCGTTTCTTTTGGCTTAGCTGAATACTTTCCGGGTTTGTTGATTGGGGATCTGTCTGGGTTGTGCTGGGGGGCCTTTGAGCGGCATTCTACAGCTCGATGCCCTTCTCTTCCGCACTTGAAACATCCCATTTGCTTCTTGGCTGTATCCGATGATTTCACCGGTTGGTGTGTCAGCTCAGGCGGGGGGCGGCTCCATTGTTTTCCTCGGCGGTGCCTCTTCAATATGTCGATCTCTGCTTCCTCTGCCAAGACGTACCATTCCTCAAGTCGATGTGGGTCCCCTCGGGGCAGGCAAGCATCATATAGATCATAGTTTAGTCCGTCTTTGGAACGGCCAAGAAGGATGTCTTCTGGCCAATTCAGTTTGCTGGCAATGGCCCGGAATTCTTGTGTATACTCAGCCACTGGGCGTTTGCCCTGCCTCATCGTTGTTATTCTTTCACGGGCTTTGCGATCAGCCAGGGGGTCTTCAAATCGTCTTCTCAAAGAGGACATGAAACGGTTGAAGTTACTGAGTTCTGGGGCATTGGAGTCATGCAAGTTCACTACCCAATCTGCAGCTGGTCCATCC